AAAAAGGGACGAACGGGATCGACTTTTAGGTACTGTTATACCGAAAGGAGCGGCAGTCTTATCGAGTACATTTTATGTCAACTGCAAATAGTTGATGGCAGTTTAGGATGACAACTTTTAAATCCTTTCATAAATGCAAGGATAAATAGATTTTATTTCCATAATTTCAGAGTATGAAATGATGTATCACAGTTTGTAATGTAGTGTAGATAATGTGGATTTTGGAAACCTTGAAGAAAGAAACCAAAGAAAAAAAATTCCCTTCAAATCAAATATAAAACAAGAAGAAAAAAAAAACCTAGAAGCTCGTGCCCGATCCTCGACCTCATGTCATTGTTCAGCCTGGCCCTCGTCCTCCTCTCGGCCGCCTCCGTGGGCCCCACCCTCCTCTTCCGCCTGCCGCCCTCTTTCCTCGGCTGGGCCTTCCTCGCCGTCTCGGCACTCTCCCTATCGTCAGCCTCTGGCCCCGTCTCGCCCGTTCGTGCTTCCGGGCCTATGTCTCCCTCGTCATCGCCTCTTCAGCGTCCCAGCTGCTCGGGATCGTGGCCTCTTCGCTCTGAAAAAGTCGAGCCTCTCTATGCTCAAGTCCCCCCGGGACCCGCGGGAGGCCAAGGCCCCGGCGAGGCTGGAGTGTGGGGTGCTGATGGCGATGTTCGCGGTGCAGCTTGGGGTTATGATCCTCTGCTGCGCTGTGCGCTGCAGCATGGCTAGGGAGTACCATGGATTGGATGCGGCCGAGACGAAGGAGATAAATAAGGAGGTGAAGAAAAGGGAGTTTGATGAGAAGATGATGAGGAGCAAGGCTATATGGGCAGTGGATGAAGAAGCATAAATTAGTATAGTAGTAGTTATTGTAACTGTAATTTGGAATGGGTGTGGTGTGGTTTGGGGGATAAAAGGTGTTCTTTCACAAATGGTTTCAGTTGTGGTAATTTTACTTTTATTGCTAGGAAGCAAAGTTTTGAATTCTGGTTTTTCTGGCACATTTGTGGTATATGTTGTCTCCTTGCACATATTTAGATTTTGAATAAAGCTATTAAACTCGAGTAACTTGTAGGGTTAATTCAACTCGACCAGTTAAGTCTTTGGGTTTTGACTAAAGTCAAGCTTGTTTAGTTAACGTGTCAAACTCGTCTCCGCTTGTTAGGCTTGAGAAATAGCAATTTATGTAATTTTTTGAACTATCAACTTTGGTCGGGTTGTTAATATTGATAAGAGAACCAAGTTCGAGCTCATTTATTGGATTTATTAGTCAACAAGCCCGACTCGACTCGACTCTACTCTACTCGCTCGTACATTTGAATCAACATAATAATACATTGGCAATTGCAACACGTAATCTTGCTTCCCCATAATCAACAAAGCAGGGACCTTGACTGTAGGATCTTGGATACGTATTTCACCCTGCGTATCCATTGACCTACAATGAAACACGATTATCTCCTACCCCGTTCATAGAAATCTAGTCTCGTATTTTTTTTGTTGATGAATTCAGTAAAACAGGTTGAGTTCTCCAGCAAAAGAGAGTCAAGACTCAAGAGACTTAAAGAGAAGGATTACATCGTAAACAATCCAAGTAAACAAAAGAGAAAGAAAAGAACGGAAAAAAAAAAGAGGAGAAACCACATTCTTTCACAAATACATCTATAATTCTCAGTGTAGTGGTTCTCCCAGTTTATTTGTACTAGTTGGTAGTATCGGTCTATACTTGGACAATCTTTCTCATATAAGTAATTTCTATCGTTGGTTAAAAAAAAAGTTTATGATTGGTATCCAATTTTTTAAATGTATGTATTGGCACAACTACATAAAAAATTCTTGTAATGAAAAGCCAAGAAATATTAAAAATAAAAATTAAATTGATACATTTTTTTTTTTTTGGTACAAAAAAAGGAGGCTACGCTAGCCTAGATAGGAACCGCCCGAGGGTACGAAACCCCAACCCTATCGTGATGCAGCCACATGTCCACCCCGGACGGAGGACTCGCCAAGGCCAAAAAACCACCCGGACCTCTAGCCGCCACCGAAGCCAAAAAGTCCGCCACAAAGTTCGACTCACGATAACCGTGGCTAAGCTCCACCTCCCATTGACGACTCAGGAGGTCTCTTATGCTATCCAAAAGACCACGGTGAACTCCGGAATGAAGACCCTGCCGGACCATCTCAATTATACTCAGGTTGTCCACTTCGACTTGTATCTTGCGCGCTCCAACGTCCCAGGCCAGCCGGAGCCCTTGAAACAATCCCCAAAGCTCGGCCCCAATAATGGAACAAAATCCAATATTCATCAAAAATCCGTGAACCCAATTACCGTAGTGATCTCGGATAACCTCACCGACGCTCGCCATCCCCGATGAAGGGTCGAAGCTACCATCCGTATTAACCTTGAGAACTCCCTCCGGTGGACACGACCACGATATCCATCGTCGTTCTCGCTGGCCACTAACACCCAATTTCTGACTTCCTGCCATGGAGCCGCTCACAGTACGAACAAAGGAGGACACCTCGACAATGCGACGGGGAAAAGGGGTCACAGCCCCTTGGAAAACGGACAGGTTGCGCCAGCGCCAAAGACGCCACGCTGTCAGCCCAAAAACCGAAGACCAGTCCTCAGAGACACGACTGAAATCACCACCCAAGTTCTGCAAAATCCATTGTCGGAGATCCAAAGAAAAGAAGACTGACCAAGATGCGCGCGGTAGCAGTGTCTCCCAAGTGCGTGTCGCATCCGGACAATCCCGCAAAACATGTAAAGTAGACTCACAAGCCGCCAAACAGATCGGACACTGTGAATCCGAGGACATATGGCGTCGGAATCGCGCGGCATTCGTTAGCAAACAGTCTCGAGCGGCAAGCCACAAAAAATGGCGCACCCGCTGCGGGCCCACCCACTTCCAAATGAGCGACCAAAGTCGATCACCACGCTGCCCCGGGACTGCGGCGAGAGCTGAGTACGCGGATTTTGTCGAGAACTGGCCATTTGCCGACAGACCCCAAAACACCGTATCCATAGGTCCATGCGCAGGCGGAGGTGGAATCGCGGAAATCCGAAGCAGGCACGTGGCTGGCAACAAACCCTGAAATAAAGCCCAATTCTAGCGACCATCTTGTGTCACAAACTCTGCCACCGACGAGTTGATTAACGATTCCGGGACAGGAGCCAACGCGAAATTAATCAGAGGAGACGCGCAATTAGACCACCTGTCCCACCAAAAACGGACCAACTGACCATTACCCAAGGACCAACGACACCCCATTAGCGTGTCTTTCCACACATCCCGAATGGATCGCAACACCGTCGAGCCCGAGGGAAAAGAAAAATCTGCACTCATCGACAAAGGTTGCAAGTTATATTTAGCCCGTAGAACACGACACCGTAGAAGGTTCGGCTGTGTTAAGAAAGACCATGCGAGCTTCATCAAAAGGGCACGATTCATGAGCCGCTGATCTTTCATGCCTAATCCGCCATCCGTCTTAGGCTTACACACTTCAGACCAAGAGACCAAGCTAATCCTCTGGGATGAGGAAGTACCGCCCCAAATGAAGTTACGGCACTTCCTTTCCAGACTATCACAAACCCCATAAGGCAAAGAAGCAGTCTGCATGGAAAAGTACGGGAGCGAACTTACGGCTGCTTGAGCCAAAGTAACCCTACCCGCCATGGAAAGGCACGAAGCCTTCCAACCAGCTAGCCTCTTCTCGGCTTTCTCCAAGATCTCGACATACGTAGCTTTGGTCACCCTACTATGTATAAGAGGCATACCCAAGTACTTCCCCAAATTATCAACGGCCCGAAATCCCAAATGCTGGCTCAGAGCGGCACGGGTGTCCGCCACAACATTGGAAGAGAAGTAGACAGTCGTCTTAGGCTCGCTTACCCGAAGACCCGACGCCTCGCAGAAGAGACGCAACACGCTTTGCAACAAAGATGATTGGGTCAGGCTAGCCTCAATAAATAAGAGCAAGTCGTCCGCGAACATCAGATACGGGATCGATACCTGCCCCCGCCCCACTGTCATGGGCTTCCAGTCGCCACTAGTCACGACAGCATCGATCAGTGGAGGAGTTCTCTTCTTCGGCTCAGCTGTGGAATGCTCAAGCCTTTGGCAACATTTTTCGTCGTAAACGACAACTGATGGCTCGTATTCGGGGGATTCAACGCTCTAGTAATGGTGGCGGCAACCCCTTCTTACGACGTTTGGAGGCCAAGTTAACAGCTGAACTCGACCAGACTCTTTTGCAGGAGGAACTGCTTTTGCTACAGAAGACTCAGCGGGATTGGGTTCTTTTTGGCGACAGAAATACTGCGTACTATCATCGCCTCCTCAAGCATAGGCGTCGGAAGAGCAGAATTGTTGATCTTACCTTTTATTGACACCAAACATTTATCTTTTTCAATCTTTTATTTTCCAACGTTATAATGTATTAATTTTTTTTATTATTCTTATTGTATTATTTTATTATTAATATTTTATTCACTAAATTTATGATTCTCATTATATTTTGTTATATTTACAAAAAGTTTGTATGTTATTATTTTAATTATTTTTTAATATTAATGTATTAAAAAAAATTATGATTGATATCAATTTTTTTAATGAATCAATTTTCACAACTACATAAATAAGATTTTGCATGTAATAATCTATTTTACTTTATGATTGGTATCATTTTTTGTATTTTTTTTTTTAAATCTACTATCACAACTACATAAATAAAATTTTGCATGTATTAAACTATTTCATTGCTTTTTTTTTATATATATATATCTATTTAACAACAATAAACATTTATCTATTGTTCGTCGCTTTTTTTTTCAACGTCATAATGTATAAATCTTTTTTAAAATTTATGATTGGTATTAAATTTTTTAATGGTATATATAGCTTCCGTTGGAAAGGTTCAAACGAAAATTCCAACTGAAATATTCTGTTTTTTTTTTCGGAACGATAGAGGTACTATTATAAATCAAAGGCGCAAAAATGTGCGAATAAAAATACAAAGCTCCCAACGGGAGAATAAAATGGGAGGACAGGTCAGGAGCCCGCCTAGAATCCCGCTAGCAACGCTAGAAAAGAAACACGAACTAAACAGACCAACTACTCGACTACGACCCCAATGGGGTAATAAAAACACAAAGAATGCAAACAACACAACACAAAGACCCCAACAGGGTAATACCAGGTGTCGGACTCCAACAGGGTAATAAAATGACAGTCGGGAGCACATAGGCCAACGGCCCAGACCAAAAATACAAGACCAAAGAACAAACAATAAAAACACAGACCAAACAAAACTACAACAAAAACAAAAAGAAGAACACAGCCTCCCTTGCTAGATACATCTAGATTTACGACAGACAAACGAATTACAAAGACAGCAACAGAGCACAGAAACGACCGCCTACCACTGCAGAAGGCCTAGCAAGATGGGTATCCGCGCCCCAGTACCAACCAAGTAACTGGCCCGCACTCCAATCACGCGAATAAACACGGCTCGACTTCACCGAGTCAGCCCTCCTGAAACAACGACCACACAACCCAGCTCGAATCGACTGAACACAACCGACGACCGAGCTCTACCCGGAAGCAGCATCCTGACTCCAGCAGTAGTGACGACCTCCAACCGTGAATCCCGTAACCAGCTCGCCAAGAAGGAAAGAGTTCCTTCCGATCGTGGACAAAATAGAATACCGAGACTAAAGCAGCAATAGCAAGAGCAAGCCTTCAATTGACACAACCGGGTGTCGAATTGGAAAAGGCCTCTGCCAATCGCCGCTTCGCCGGCGAAAAGGCGCAGGTCCTGACCGGGGCGAGGAGGGCGACGAAGCCG